ACTAAATCACTMTTTCTAAAATATAAGGTGGTGTTTTACTATAGAGGATTTACTGAACTCAGAACATATTGTATATATCAAACAGTGCATACTCTTTGTTCAAGAGTTCTGCTAGATGTCTGCTAGGTTCAAGAGTTTTGCTATGTTCAGAGAGGAATATTGCCCTAGAGTCTTAGACTTTTGTGCTGATGAGAGAAAATGTGTCAGTTTGGTCATTAAAGCCTGGCTGTGGAGAAAACAGCATTTCCTCATATGCTTTTGCCTCCCTGCCTTCAGTGTAGTTGGGTGGGGGAGCAGCTCCTGTATTCTTTAGAGACTGACTGGTTCATCAGGAACAGAAAGAAGGGAAGAGGCAGTTGCTTTTTACCATCTCCTTACATGATTTTAGAGTCATTGGGTTCCCTCTGTTCCTGTGAACACTAAGAGCTGTGCTATATTTCTTGGCAGTACAGAGGTGTGATATGACTTATAAAACATGAAATTATGATGTACTCAGATRACATAAAGGAAGCACCAGGAGGCTTTGTCTTACCTTAGAATTTTGCATAGTCAATGCAAAAGTACATGTCATAACAGCAGCAGTTCTGGGAGAATTCATTAAAGCTGTCTGATAAAACCCAGGGGACTTGGTGTGGGACTGTTRGAACAGTCAGACACCTCTCATAAGGGAAGTTGCGATGTATTTTGGAAATTCCCGGTTAGTAGATGCTGATCAGCCCTGTCTGTTTAGTTACTCGGATATGCTAGTTGAAATCAGCACAGCTTATTGAGTTTGTATTCTGCAGTGACTTGTGTTTTCCAGTGTAACAGCTGCTATTTAGGCAGTACTGATCTACCAAGATGTCAAAAAGAAAACAGCTTTTTACACCTTACACATACTGTGAGAGAGTTGATTTAAACATAAGAGATTGTCAGTCTTTCTCACTTTGTGTGTGTACTTATGCAAACTTTCTCCTTCGAAACTTTCCTGTTGACCTCTGTGATGTTTTCTTACACTGTGTAGAGAATAATAGTAGAACCCATAGCAGAAGCTTGTGACTGGTGTCCATGGAGCTCTTCCAGTTCTGTATTATTATCTGGTTAAAGGAATAATGCTTCTGATGAAATGAGGCAACTGTTGTTCTGTGGAAGTATTCAGTTACCTGAGCTGCAGAAACTTGTTGTCTGTCTTTATGGTATCTGTATGTAACTAAGATTACTAAGCAGGATTTGTGAAGCTATCATTTTAGTCACAAATTTGATACCCAAACATTTTTCCTTTACATGAAATCGCCATTTGTGAAGATGAGTATAAAGCTGTTTAATTGTGTGATTAAATACTAAAGGAATGTTCAACTATGCTAAAACTCAAAAAAAAGCTCAAGAAATCCCTTGAGCTATGTTTTGTCCTTTGCCATTATGTAATCTTTACATAAAAGTGCAACTATTATATATATATGTTATCCTAATAGGTGGTTATAATTTAATCCCATTTTATACCATGGTTTTCTATGCTCTGTGCCTCTATTTTTGGACAGTATCTTTGGAGGAATGTCATGCTTGGGGGGAATCGAAACATGCTATACTTCATTCTTTTGAGATGTTGAGCAAAAATCTCTTACGGTATACAGTGAATTACTAAGTATTCATTAAGAACTGTTACACATGTTCACCACTTTATGCTGCATGAAGTCTTGGATATACAGCAAATACCCAGATAGGCCCTTGTTTTCTTTTTTCCCCCCTCCTTTCTGTTAAATTAGAACTCTGCAATTCTCTTAAAACATGAATATCAAGACATAGGTCATGTTTCTTTCATGAACCATCAATGAAATCAGGTGTTAAATATTAGAATTGTTAAAGGACTGTTCTTATACCAACAAGACTGATATTTCTATGGTGTCTATACAAGTTTTTTACGACCTACTAGTGAGTTTRTCATGAGAGTTTTTAGTATGCTCATTTCTCCTAGGAATGTCTGGTAATATGTCACAGTTTAGGGGAGTATAAACTGTGTATGCTGTATACTTAGCACAGGGATTCTGTTTAGTATTTATCAGGAAAATTGACTTATGTACCTATTTCATACTCAATTACACTGTCATCTGCCAAATGTTTCTTCACCTTCTGGCTTGTTCCTATTACTATGTCAGTTTTTGGGAAATGCGTAAACAGTGTACTTTTTATAATGTGAATTTTATCACCATGAAGAGCACCTATACGTTCCCTTAACTTGCAGGGTTTTTTCCTTTGTTCTTGCTTATGGATTTAACTTAGAAGCAGATCCAAGCGTAAAGCTTTGCTGAAAGCATCCATGAGTTCATRCACAGTAAATATAATTTACTTGAATGTCAGAGCATTCTCTCTAATACTGTGATGAGCTGACCATTGGGCTTAGATTAAGTATTAGCAAATATAATTGGAAGAAAATGCTTCTCTAGATTCATTGAATTTGTTTTCTATTACCCAGTCTGTATATTCATTTCTTTAACATGAATGCTTTTTAGTTGCTTTTGTTCCTAATAGTTGTGCTAAGTCATAAAATAGATTCAGTTCTTTTTTTTGTTGTTGGTGTTGGTTAATATGATAATTCCCTGATCATTTTATGTTGGCATTGTGATTGAATGCTAGAAAACAAGACTGGATTAAAATTTCTGTTGTACTGTGTTTTAACATTGAGTCGATAGATTTTTTTTTTGTCATGAATAGTTGGACAGAATGTGCTGTTACTAGTTTTTAGGCACAATTTTACTAATTAGTGAATTTAGCAAATTCTGCTGATTTTTCTTTGAACAAAACTTCCAATTTACACAGTGCTACATGAAGAACTTTTTGGTTTGCTCTGCACTAGAGAMTAAGTTCTTTGAGATGTTGACACCATTTAGTTGTTGTTTTTTCCTTGGTGCATCTCAGATCTATTTTTTATAAGCTGGTTAAAGTTACGTATTATTCTATAGTGTTCATATTTTTTAAAGAGTGCGGCAGCATAGTATTTGATTACTTTGATTACTTTGAAGTTTAGCCTGATGATAATAGGAAGTAGTAAAAAGTACTATTTTATGCAAACATGGTTATAGAGAAGATAGTGCATTGTTTACTCCTCTCATAATATTTYCTGAATGTACAGGATAGGTGAACAAATCTTGTTGCTAATGCAAACATTTAACAGATGAAACTAAAGGGCAACTATCAAACTTCTGGTCATATTTAAGGTCATTTCAGATAATYTTAAGTAGTTTGCTAGTTTGAGAACATTATAGAAAATATCATAGATGAGAATCATTACATCAATCAGGAAACGTTTCTGTACAAATGCAGTAAGAAACATGGTTTTTTGCAGAAATCTAAACAGCCTAAATACTCCATGTTTAATTGCTTGCTATTTTGCTTTGTAGTAACAAATCCTGACATTTGTTCCCTATAATTTCCATTTGCTATGTGTATCTTAGAATACAGCTGACAAGAGATAGATTTTTAGCCCACCAATTGAGAGCTGGTTAATATTTTGATATGCCCAGCAAAATATAATATAGGTCCTTTTCCTGTATTTAATTAGGTTCTGCTGGACCAACTCATTTTTTGGTCAGTAAGATAAGCAGATCCTCAGTATAAATCAGAAGCTATTTGACTAAAGGGATACTATTTTTATATGACCATGCTTCAATCTATAACAGCCACCTCAAAATTAATCAAACTATCTTTGTTCAATGTCAGTGGTTAGTGATTTTAGTATTGTCTTCATAGGGAAGTGAATTGGTACTATATACAAATTGACCTTTAGAAAAAGTGTTAGTCCTTTTTCTTGGCCTCCTGGTTTTTGGAAGAGAAGGGAGCGGGGATTGTTGATGTAATCAGACCAAAGAGGAATGAAGTATAATTGCTTGGTCCTGGGATCTTGCCATGTTTGCGTGTGTAGTGGCAGTGGAAGGGCTAGGGGAGCAACACTGTGTCCTCAGCTGCAGGCTGCTTTGGTCTTTAAATGTACTGTCCTTAATGCGCGCACACACACAAAACGAAACCTCTATCTGTTGCCTATATTGTGTATATTATGGCTCTGAGTGAATAATGATTCCCTTCTCCCTTAGTTGGTCTGCTTTTGACAGACACTTTTAAAATAGCCTTGATAGCTTTGCACCTTACTATCTTGCTGTTATTACACAGTATATGAATATTTCTAATTATRTGATTCATTACAAAATTTTGTGCAGTTACACCTTTTAACATAGACACTGTGAAAGTGTCAATATCGGGAAAGCACTAGCAGATTTCTAACCTGAAAATATTTAGCTGTATGAATTTATGTGCAAACTTGCAGCAACTGTTGCATGTGATGTGGGATGCCAAAATCAGTGTGTTGGGATTGTGTGTAACAGGTAAGTGTGTATGCTATGTAGTAGAGACTGAGTATATCTTTCATTTATGTTTAAATTGATAATCATTACTTCAAAGCTTAGGGAAGATAATTAGCTTTATGCTTAGAGAAAGCCTGCTGCTTTAAGATGTGAAAACCACCCTCCATCTCCCCTAACCGTGGCGCATTACTTTGATACGCAACGCTTTGAAATTTGTGCGCCTTCTTTAAGCTGTTTAAGCAGCCTGAGGCAGACGCTGATGGCTGTTGCTGGGTTGCGGGGGCGCGCGCAGGGCGCGGGCAGTGCTGTGGCGCGCGCCCCGCTTGCGCCGCTGCAGGTGCTGCCCCTGCAGCCGCGCGCTGCTGCAGCGGCTCGCAGCCGCTCTCCTCTGTCTTGGCTTTTTGCAGCGCTTTTGCACGGGGCTCTTTGCACCAACCAAGCGCTAGAGCCGAGGCCCGGGCGCGAGCTGGAGGCCTCGCTCGCGCCGCGGCTCATGGCGGGCGCGGGGCGGGGCGCGGCGCTGCCTGCGCCGCTGCGCGCGCGGCGCGGCGAGGCGGGCGGGGGCGGCGCGCGAGCAGCGCAGGCAGCAGCCGCCGCCGCAGCAGCAGCCGCTGTGGTGAAGGCAGCGCCTCCGCGCCTCGGCCGGCAGCGCGCTGCGCCCCGGCACCTCCGCCCGCTCCTCGCCAGGGCTGCGCCCTTGCCTCGCCCGGCCAGATGATGAACTTTCTGCGGCGCAGGCTCTCCGACAGCAGCTTCATCGCCAACTTGCCCAATGGCTACATGACCGACCTGCAGCGGCCCGAGCCRCAGCAGCCGCCGCCGCCTCCCTCGGCCGCCTCGGGCCCCGCTGCCTCCCCGGCCTCCGAGCGTCGACCGCAGCCGCAGCAGCCGCCGCAGCAACAGCAGCCGCCGCCGCAGTCCGCGGGCAGCAGCTTCTTCAGCTCCCTCTCTAATGCTGTGAAGCAGACGGCGGCCTCGGCTGGGCTCGTGGATCCCTCCTCCACCGGCTCCTCGGCTGCCGGCAGGAAGTTCAAGCTGCTCCTGGTCATCGACGAGCCGCACACCGACTGGTAGGTGTCGGTGTCGTCCCCCCCGTCCTGCTGCGGCGCCGAGCCCCCCCATCCTTCCTCGTGCACCGCAGTGCCCCCGGTGTCCCTTCTCCCCGCCGGGCTCCGTCCCTGTACCCGCTCACTTGGGGGCACCTGAGGGCGACAGGATTGCCAGGGGGGCAGCGGGGAAAACAGCTCCTTTCCCCCTTTCCCCTTCTTCCCCCCTCCCCCCCCCGGTGGGCATCCTTGAGGCGCGGACGACCGTTGAGCGACCGTTAACGGCCACGCGTAGCAGCGGAGCAGCGCGCCTGCAGCGTGTGAACGGGAGTGAAGGTAAATCGAATAAAACACCGAATAAAAACGAATCCCCCCCACTGGCAGAGCTTATACTGTTTTCTCTGGGGAGGGAAGACGGGGCGCCTGGCCAGGCAGGTGCGGTGAGGGGCATCTCTGCACCGAACTGCGGTGGGCGCCTGCGAGCAGCCTCCGGAGAGGGAGTCCTTACGTGAGGGACATGCAGGTGCTGTTTTTCTATTTTTAAGTGATTTTTTATAAAATTTTTCTCAAAATAAATCACCTTCTGGTGATGGTTGGGATGGATATTTTGCTCCAATATAATAAAATTATGTGGGGGTTTGCAGGGCTGGCACTTACGTATGTCAGCTCATCTCTTCCTGTGCCTGACTGCCCTCAGTAGGAGGGACTATGGCTTTTTTGGAACTGTTTATCACATATGGTGGTGCGGGATGCTGCATTCCATGGAAAAGCCATGTTTTTATTAATCATTCACTATTTTCTGTAATGCATGTTTGAATATCAGGCTATGAATTGTCTCATTCAGTATTGGCAATTGCAGTATATGATGTCTTAATAGAATAAGCATGTTTTTATAGCACTGACATCACTTGGTAACGAATCATGGGTCTGTGGTTTTATTGTCAGGTTTTCAAAGCTGTAACCTTGCTGGACTTGCACCTATGTTTGATACAATTTGTTTTGAAATATTGCTTTAAAATGTCTGTAACAAACTTAAGCTTAATAAAAATGCTTTATATGTAAGAATGTTAATGTCACCTATTAAAATAAATGACAAGAGAAGAAATATCTCCYGAGCTAAGGAAAGCTTCTGTACGCTTCTGCTTCTGAAAGCATCTACGTCATGAAGATGTATCTATGCATCCATGGACACAGCTCACTGGCTTGCAGATGCATCTAGCTGTTTAGCATTCTATAGTGTACATTTTGCTTGGTAATTTAAATTACATTACCTRTTCATGAACTTTGTTTCTGGTAGTGTTCTTCCATGCTGACTGAACTATGTGTTATAATTGCAGTATTTTAAATGATAGGATACCCACCTAAAATTAAAACTATCAGTAATAAGACTTTAAAACCTCTGCTTTACTAATGTCACCAACTGCCTTCCAAATAGAAGTGGATACATTTACCAGTATACCAAAGGTTACTTGAGCCTACTCATTTATTTGTGTTTTYTTCTTGTAGTATGTGATATGAATTTGTAGTCTTTTTGGAAAGAGCCTCCTGTCAGTGCAGCTGTGTTTATAATATCTTTTTCCATGTACAGAAAAATGCTAATCATTTGGTAATTGTGGATTTTAAAATCATGCCTTAAAATACAAATCTTCTAATCAGACAAATATTCATAGCAACTGCATTAAAATTGCTTTCCTGTCTTTCGATGCGTAGAAATCTGTATTGAACTGCTTGGAAATTTGAGTAAATGGACAGAGATGTAATATTAGTGATAACTAAAATAGTGGAAATTGCAACTTATTGCAGTTATTTACAAGGATCTGAGTGACTGTAGCACCTGCTACCCTGCCTGGTATGATGCATTGGCGTACAGCTTTACAAGATGAGGTATGTAGAGCTGTTGTCATGTGATGCTCTTGGTGGGGGGAAGAAGAAGCAGTACTGGGTAAATCTGTTAGAAACACTGTTTCCTGAGGGGGGAAAAAATAGCTGGTTTAGATGAATCCTGAGATGAAAATTATACAGACTTTCTCTGAATGCCTAGATCTACATTATGTTTGTTTTAAACTGAGAGTTCACTACCTTAGTATGACTTTGAATAGAAATAAGAGAATTTTGGTCTGTGTCATAGTAAAAGAGGATATACATTTAGTCYTTTATGCAAGGCCCAGGGGAAGCTTTAAATAACTATATTTTGYGGGGCCAAGAATATTGTCCCTTATTTCTAGTATCAAAGCTTAATTTTGTTACTAACATTGCTTTTTTTGGTAAGCTCTGAGACTCAACTAACCCTTCCGATATAATTACTATTGTTGCTACTGGAATCATGAGATACAGGTATTCTTCATGTAGTCAATGTCTAGTTTTTGTTAGAGTTGAAGGTTGATTTCATTGACTTATTTGCTTGTCTTAAGTTCACTGTTTTATCAGTTTTGAAATTTTCCTTTTTCTTAACTTTTATGACAATACAAAGAAAACTGTTAGAGATGACTTGTGCTGTTCGCATACTTACTGTTTTAAGACAGCAAGCAACTGCACTTATACTGTCTTACTATCCTCCATTTTTCCATTGATGTGGTGTCTTTTCTGCACAGTTTTGTTACTAAACTGCTAAGAGGCATTTTTAAGTGCTTCTGCTGAAAGCATGACTATAATATGTGCATCTTGAGCCTCAACATGACTGAAGACTGTCACCTAGGAGCTTAAATATCTTGAGGACAAAGAATTTAGAAAAGAAGAATATGAAAAAGCATACATACTAAAGCCCTTAATTCATTAGGGAACATGAGTATGTAACATCAGCATTCATCAGTTCTGGTTCTACTGGAATAATTTCTCAAACCCTTTACATAATAAACAATCCTTTATCCTAAAAGGCCAGGAAAAATAGCCATGAATCACTTCCATTGAGTGACTTTGATRATAATTGTTGTTATGCAGTGTTACCCTGAAGAAGAGGTGACCTGCCTTTCAATGCAAYGATACTATTAACTTATAAAGGTATTGATAAAGACTCCTTTTGTGAAATTTATTTTCTACAGCTCTATATGGAGCTGACATTTTGAATATCTTTAGGAATGTCTGGTTCCATTTCATGAGTTCCTACAGCTAATTGAGGATCTTCAGGTGTTGAAAATACTAGTATAGGTAATTTTAGTGGAAAAGTAAATCAAACTTAGGTTGATGCTAAGAACCACTTGTTAGGTATAATAGCTTTATTTAATGTGCTCCATTCTGGCTCTTGATAGTTTAAGGTATTTTTAATGCCATTTTGGCAATTGGAAGAACCTAAGAAGTAAAATTGGTTTGTCAAGGTTATCTAGGAGGTTGGTGATAGGTAGACTCCAGTTCAACCCTGTCTTGTCTACAGTGTTCTTCTAAGCCATATTTTGGCTATGAGCATGCAAAGATTATCCTAAATGCTCAACTGTTTGCAACATTTGTTGAAAAAATGTGTGTTACTTTGATTTCTTCAGGAAATAACCAATTTAGTAAGTATATGCAAAATATACCTAATTCAGTGCTATACAGGAAAGTGATCAGTGTCAGGRTGCCAAAGGCAGTATATGAAAATTATTAAAAGCCTAAATAGAATATTTAGAAACCTGTTTAATTATTAAAAACTGTGATTATACCCTGGTTGGTGTCATGCTTCAAGCTCGAATCTTAAGACTAGCTGGCAGTARTGATAAAGCTGTAAGAGAAATCATATGGGAAAAATAGCTTTTTTTGGTTAGCACAAACTATTGCAAGTTGCAGAGCCTCTTGTTTCTCCAGAGAATTATGCCTCTCTAATAGTACTTTAAGTAGTCATGTTAAGACTGAAATCATTTATTTACAAATAATTTTGAAATGGATGGGGTGAGTTCTTTTGGAAGACAAAGCTTGCTTGTTAAAATGGAGCCATTTGCAAGCAAATATTTCTCATAAGTGTTGGAAGTAAGAACCATATCTTCCACAGAAGAACAGAAAAATACTGGTTTATGACACAAAAGTTATTGAAATTAGCAGAATACTTGCTCTTGTCCTAGTAACTAGGTGTAGAAAACAAGTTCATTCAAAAGCACATATTTATTTCTTCTATGTAAGAATAGCTACCAAACAATGAAATTTGGATGCCATTTGTTTGTTCAGCAGTGATGGCTCAATGATAGACTGATTGCACATGATTAATTGGACTGATTATTTCTGAACTGAAATTGATTTTAGCCTTAACTTGTTTGATGGTAGTATGCTGCTTGAACTGGAGTACTTGATTGTTGTCAGTAGTGGTATCCTGTTGGCATGTAAACCACTTTTGAGAGGTGTCACTTGTGTTTTTGTAATGTGTAAATGAGGGCAAATGCTTTGCCAGGGTACTCAGATTGTCTGGTAAGGGCAAGATAATGGCTGTCCAAAAGGGCTGTGTTGTTGTCAGCCTTATGGCATGACAAAGTGTGGTGCTAGTGGTGCAAAGGAGAAAGCTCTGGCATGGACCTAGGAAGGGAGTACTGGGGAGAGAAGTCCAGGGAACTAATCTTGGCTGCAAGAGGAAGAGGTATTGGATGCACCTGCTGGGGGCTATCCTGGTGCTGGAGGTGAGAAACTTTTGAGAGCAAGTCAAAGCAAGAAGCACAGGGAAACTAATTATTAAAAGATAGGTCCAAGCTCTTTAGACCATCAGAATAGCAAAGGGTAGATGCATGCTTTAGGATGGTATGAGTGAAGACATACTCTTACCAATGTATGTTATGGAAGAAAAAAATGAATATTACTCTACTTTTAAATATTAGACACTCTATTTGCAACAAAAGGGTTTTAGTATGAAGGAAGCAACTTCATATAACACGTTGATTATTGTCTAAACAGGCAACAAGTTTCTTAAAGTCACTRAACTAGAAGAAAAAGATAAAGATTTAACTTCTGTTCTGTAAAGCTTTCTTTTCATATGGTAATTTGATTATTTTCAAGTGATCTTTGTCAGGAGTTTTATCTGAATCCTAAACAAGTAGATATATTACAGTGTAATTATAGTTGTATTTTGGACA